GTGCTCAAGTTTTCTTTACAAAAGGGGCAATATTAGAAACTTTGAAGGGAAGATCTTCCGCTTGATTTCCATATGTGATTTTTGAGCCCGGCAGACTTTATTCTTCAATAAGCTGCTGCAAGAAGAAGTGATCCCTACGAAATGGAGCACCAGTACACTTGTGCCCATATACAAAAATAAAGGGAATGATTGATGACTTTTCCCTAAGTTAGAAAGGCAAATTCAGAGCTCACTTGGTTTTATGTAGATAATGGATCATATAGACGTTATCTGTTCCCACTCCCCTCAATATATGTGTTCGCCCATAAAATAGTGCTGGAATCTGATCTCAATGGTCTAATTCTTTATCTAATTCTAATTCTAATGGTCAAAAACAGTCTTTGCTGGAGTGTTTTTCTATTTTTTTTAGTATATTATCTGGCCTATTAACTTATCATTATCAATAGTATTAGTTTTACTGTGTTATCTTTTAGTTTGCTAATTTACTTTATACTTTTGTAATAAACAGATATGAAAATGACAGAAAAAGGTTTGATTATAGAATTCGGAACTCAATGTGGGTTTGTAACAATTTTGAGCTCAATTCAATTGTTCATTGTTCAATTTCATTTTGGCTCTTTTATTCTGTAACAAAATAAAATTTTGTTTACTCCACAAATTTATTAATTGAATTTATATTTCCACATGGCATGTTTTTTGTAGTAATTTTAATAACTACTAATTACACTGTATCAGGTGATGAGGTATGTGTTTGGTGCCAGTTGTTGTCAGAGCTGACTACATACTTTTACAAAAAATTTACTCTTTCAAAGCAAACGTGCTTTGCAAATCTTACAAAGAGAAAGCTAAATATTTTTTATTATAATATGTATAAATTATACAGGGCTTTAAAAATAAATAAATTATTTTATTCAAAGTTTGTAAACTGAAGTATTTCAATAATCAGTTTACAAACATACTGATTTCGTCAAAATAAACTCTGTTGCCAGTTTCAAAAACAGACAACAAAGAACTGTTGAAAATGAACTTAGTTTCTTCAGTATTTCAACTTCACTGTCGATACAGACGGCTTTTAGCTGTTAACTGAACATATAGACATGTACCTTAAACGATACAATGTCTACATGCGACTCCCTACATAGGTACTGTTGAAGTTCCGTAGTCAACCTAAGCAAGATTTTTAGTACATACTTAGAATTAATTTTATAATGTAAATTACGTTTTAAGTCACATAACATAACATGACTCTTGTTAATGTTTAATAACGTTTTAATTACTTATTTAAATAGCTATAACTTTACCTTAACATTTCAGTTCAAATATAATAAAATAACAATAATAATAAAATAACAATAATAATAAACGAAGTCCTCGATCTCCAGTGTACACGCGTGATACTTTTTAAATAATTTTCAAATCTTTTTAATGGCTGGTTTCTAGTACATAGTGAATTTAGTAACCAAGGAACTAATTTTCGAATAATTATTAACTTTACTAAACGCACATTGCGTAAATTACAGCAAATTACTTTAATTATCTAGTTATGCGCCTATGTACTCACATAAAGAATTAACGGGAAACAGCCTGAAGACAAACAAACAATTAAAATCTATTATGTTAACTTATGTTCGTATATTTTCATCACTATTCACACTGTGTACAATTTTAGGAATTAATATTGAATATTATTGCAATAACAACAACAGCTGATTCACAACACATACACAATCGTTGACACTTCTTAGATATTAAATGTATAATCTATGGTTGCAATTGTACCAAAAAAAATCTATGGTTGCCACAGATAGGTGACTGAAGTTAGCCCCTCAAAAAATAATTTTTTTCTATTTTCTACTTATTTTCTATTAATTCGTTTGTTCATCATTTGTTCTTGATTGTTTACTGTTAATAATTGTTTGTTCTGATTTATTAATTTAAAAATCATAAATTAAAAAAATACACCTATAAGTTAGCCCCCTTAATGCAATTTTTAATATTTTTTCATCCTTAATGGCTCGTAAATATTCATTTTCGATTGTTCTTATATAAAACGCGTTTGTTCTTTTTCGAAATTTCTCGTTTTTTGTTTAATTAACTATTTGTATTAGTTGAATAAATGTATGCAAAATATGTGTACTGCGCATGCGTCAACTAGAATGCCTAAACTTTCTACGCGGTTTTAATCGTGAAAAAAAAAACAATTATAAATCCTGAAGGAGCAATTAATTGGTATGCAGTTTAATTAAAAAAACAAAATGTGTGCAATTCACACGTGGTAGAAGTGAAACCTTCCAAAATTAAAATACAATTATCCTAAACGTCTTAAGTATATGTAAAATTTTGTCATTAGTAAATAATTGTAAGGTAGCGCCCTCTGTGAATTGATATTTTAATTTCACGTATAATCCTAAATTAAAATTCACTACAAGAGCTTTCATACANAAGGTAGCGCCCTCTGTGAATTGATATTTTAATTTCACGTATAATCCTAAATTAAAATTCACTACAAGAGCTTTCATACACACGTTAGTATTAAAAAATCTCACAGATGGCGCTGTATTAAATAGTATGTTGTATATTTCTGTCTCATTCTTTGCTGGCTTCATCCTACACATTTTTGTATTTGTGTCTCTTACCTGTCGTTTTTTCCGTTGCATCCGGTTTGAAATCACAACGATTCTAAAGAAGTTTTCACTTCAATAAATAAATGAAATAATGTGCAAACCAAACTGTTTACCATCCACATTTGATTGTCGGGCAGATAGAAAACGAAAATTCACTCAAAGTGAACCTCAGCCTGCATTTGTGAAACGGCAAAAACTCAATAATACTCACTATTATCAAGAAGATTGAAGAGAGGACTAAAAATAGATTTGTCATATACCTTTGCCATCTTGTAGTCAAGGTAGGTGTAACTGTCAATAATTAGTTACACTCACAGATCTCATAATCAAATAACAATATCAGAAAAAAGGAGAATAGACAATTTTTACATTCGAACCTTAACGAATAAACGACGAGCATATAATTAAAAATAAAAAAAATCCGAAAATCAAAAAAGGGGGCCAAATTCACTGAGCCTAAAATAGGTATCTCACGCCTTGTATGTTTTAGTTTACTTTTAATTGCTTAGGCAAAGATGTTCAAAGATCCGAGTCAGGCTACTCATGTGCTATATCTGGCCTATCGTCATGTATGGTTGCGAAACGTGGACCCTGAAAGAGGACACTACAAGACGCCTACAGGCATTCGAGATGTGGTGCTACCGTCGCATGTTACGCATTAGTTGGACACAGAGGGTCAGGAATGAAACCGTGCTTCAGCGCGTTCATATGTCCCGGAAAATGTTGCCTTCTATCAAAAAAACGCAAGATAGAATATCTCGGCCACGTGCTCAGGAACGATAGATACATGCTGCTGCAGTTGATAATTATGGGCAAAGTGGACGGAAAGAGACGTGCTGGGCGAAGAAAGAAGTCATGGCTCCGGAATATCCGGGAGTGGACCGGTATTGCCTCCGTCGAACAGCTGTTCCGGCTGGCTGCTGATAAAAATGAATATAGGAAGCTAACGGCCAACCTTCAGGATTGAAGAGGCACTGGAAGAAGAAGAAGGTAAAGATGTCTTGCATTATAACCCATTTTACATTTTTCAAAAGTTTTGTTAGCCTTATTATATCAAATATACAAAAACAAATCTTTTTTTTTGTGTTGCGAGCTTGTAATTTAGTATGTTTTTAGCTGAACATTAAGGTCGAGCTTGGAAAGATTAAAGTATTAAATTGAACAAAGCCGTGCTCCTTTATTTTAAAATTATTTAAAAGAAACTCATTCTACCATCGAGAGTAACAGCTACAAATTCGAGAATAAACATCAATAACACAAGTATTAGCCAATATTAGATACGTGGTATTAATAAATGATTCAACAGATAAAATAATGTAAGCGGCCAAGTAGTATCTCGTAGATATTAAACAGCTTAAATAGATTGCCGTTAAAATTCACCAACCTTGTGCAAACAAAAGCTTTACTTTCTTTGTTGAACGATATCAAGCTGCTTAAAGGAAGCTGGAAGAAAAGTGATGGTGATGACCATTGCTACACTCCATGTGCATTAAGTCTGAGCGTTAGGTTTTAACCATTATAACGCTGTCACGGCACAATTAAAATATTCCGAATTTTCATCACTTATAGCCTATCTATCAGGTAGGGAAGAGTCATCAGAGAGACATCACATCAGCGTATTTGTATGCACGCAGTGTATTTTCCTTTTGAACTTTTTGAGCAATAATGAGATTTAAAAAAAAATGCAGAGTTTAGTAACTCTACCTGTTGGTGGCGATGTTCATTTGGTATTTGTTCAGGCCTAAGAGTGTAAATTGTGGAATCCTGCCATAAAAACCGTTTGGCAAAAGTGAACAAGTTTTTCTATAAGTCTTAAGTTTATTTATAAGTCATTAAGTCCTATTTTAGTTGAACATTTCTTTTTTCAAATCTATTTACAAGCAAAGTAGGAAAAAATAATAAACGATGATATGGCTAAAGGACTTGAATCCAGGCTATTTGACAATAAAAAAAATCAAATTTTATACGTTTCATCACGAATCTAACTATTCACATATAAATAATCACAGATGTAGTAGCAGTATTAATAGTAATGTAGAAGTAATGGTATAATTACCAGTGAATTTTATTATTGGAATTTTAAGTAAGCGGAATCCGTAATCCTCAGAATTTTCGTTCAAATATCCCGCATTTACTGTTTCACGCCCAGTTTGACGTCACAGCTCGGGGTTCTCAAACGCTCTGCACCGCACCCAAACAAACACGAGTAAAAAAGTTATATATCCATTCAATGTAAAATTTTGTAGTTCTTCGCGTCTTGCAAAAAGGACTATTCTGCCTTGGTAAAGTATTCAATGGTTTAAAGGTTCAGATAGGTGGCGCTTTTCGTTAACTTCACCAGCGCAGAAAACACCAATCACGTTCCAGGAACTTTGACGCAATTTGCAAATGGCCGTGAAAAGGACCGATCTTGAGGGTGTATGAAAAGCTAATGGTGGATTGTTCCGTGATAAAAACTTGTGAAATATCCTTGTTTTAGTGTGGTGATATTGAAAAGATACAAAATGTGCCAAAAAGTGGTTATCCAATCTTAATGGTGATATAGAAATCGCCCGAAAATCGCTGGAGCGTCGATCGAAGGGACATTGCTGACAGAAGGGTAAAGTTCCAGTTCCATTTTGGCTAGTCTTGATTCTGTACGGCCTTTAAAGATAAAATACATTATTCACGAGTAGTTCGCATTAACTTTTATGTGTTCGTTAGCTGTGTTAATTATCTTTCAATTACATGGGTATAGACAAGAGCCTAAGCCGGCTAGTATATTGCTTAAAACATTATAAAAAAGGATTGGTAAGTAATATATTGATAAATGAGTCACGTACACTTCCATTTTGAGTTCAGATCCTCATTCAAGTCTACCGGATGAAGGGATATTGAACATTTATCGTGTAACGATGGCTACCTACATATTAATGGCACATAGTGGTATACATAATATACAACGATAGGCACTGCCCTGTTGCTAGATGAAACATCGATCTGTAGTTTTAACCGCATTTCGTGAATGTACGGACTTAAAACTGGATTATAGAGTAAAATAAGGGGTTTTGTCGGTAATTGTGATTATTGATCATGTTAGTACAACTGGGTATTTTCACGCCCTACCTAGATTTTCGGTGTTGAATATAAGGATGTACTTGAGTAGTTAATAGCTTTTCGCGTTAGTTTTAATAAGCTTACTGGCTATATTCGTATATTAGATTGATGTTTTTTATGCGTTATTTATTTTTAAAACGTGGTTTTTAGTGGACGATCATAAATTATGAATTATCTTAAAGAACGGATTTAAATGTATTAAGATATTTTTCTTAACGTTTTTCAGTCAACATATTTACTAGCATTTATTCATGTTTAAATTGTTATAGAATAATTATAAGTAATATATTCATTAATTAGTGAATGATGTATTTCAACAGTTAAAGAAGCCGAAAATAGAATGACCTTGTAAAAAATAAGAAAAATTAGTACAGGTCAATGACTCATTAATTTTTAGTGATCAATATTGTGTATTGATTGATTTCTCTGTTCTAATGAAACTAATTAGTCATTTTCTTGTTAAAAATCCTTATTGAATGGGTATTATTTAAACATAGACATTTCCTTAAGTAAATGTGAAGATTTTAAAATAACTTAATAGTTTGTAGTTAGGAACATTATAATATGAACAAATGAAAAATAAGTAAGAATATAAAGGCCTACATATTACATATTATTATCTAGAATATGCAATACAATAAAAGTATACAAAATCTACATAATACCAATTTTTTGTTTAGTGATTTTCACCCAGAATAAGACAATATAAAGAAATTTCATTGGATATGCCTTCATAAAATATTTCAAAATTAAAATTTTGTCACGGCTCATGATACATGTCAAATTGCTTTTATGGTTAATGTACTATGTACCCACTTAACAATAAGTAGGCTTCTTCTCTCAACTAATCTATCTATCTCAATCTTCTGTTCAACTAATACAATAAAATGGGATGTATGTTTGGACTAATAAATTTGTTATTTATGTAGATTGCCTCGGATGATATGTAGATTACCTCAATGAGCATTACTGTTTAAAGTAAAGTCATACATGATATCTAAATATTCAGACCAAATAATATTAATAATTTAAAGTCCAACACAAATATGAACAGCAAACCTTTGTTAAGATGATTGCAAGTATTGTGACCTTGTTTTTGATGTAGCATGTATTGTCTAGTGTCCGTGAGTTTGTCATTTTAAGTGAGGTTTCTGAATGTGACTTAGGTAAGTAAGTTATATTCACCGAGGTAAGCTATTATATTTGAATTTACCACATTAGTAAAGCAGACTTATCTTAAAATAAATTTGTCATAGTGATTTAGTTAATAATGCGATGTTGTAAAGATAATTTGTAGTGTTCAATCAATGAGTAATTTGACCATAATCGAAACACAATGTTTAGTCTATTTCAAAAATATTTGTAATGATAACCCTAAAACTGATTAATAGCTACTAAACTAAAAAAAAAAAATAGTGGACTGCTGAAAAATTAGTGGAAATTAGTGGATTGCTTAGGAGAAAATTGTATCATCAAAACTACTATGGCATTTTTTATTTTATTGAAAACACGAAACTCCCAATTAACCATTAAAACAAAAGTTAAGAACAGAAGAAGATAGGAAGAAATATAGTAATTTATTATAAAAAAAAGAACAATATTCCTAATCTAAAAGTATAAGAGTAAAAGTATAAAAAGTATAACATTAAAGAAATTGTATATGACTGTTTTGTCTATTATATATTGATTATTATTTAATTGTTTCGAATGCACTTTAAGTTGGAAAACTTTTGACTTTTATTTCATTTTTTTACATATATGTACATACATAAATATAATTGGGTAGTTTCGTTAGTAATCGCTAATTTGACTTGAGAGTTTTTGCACATTACATACATGGAAGTATTTCACCTTGTTGAGAATTGAAGAATCTGTAATTAAATAAAGAAGAATGACTGTGAATGTTATTGAATATAATTGCATTATATACATAATAAAGGGGCAGTGTCGAAAAAGTTCACTAGTGTGCCAAAAAAATTGACATTAGTTTATTTACTAACAAGAATGAATTCTTGTTAAACTTCAGATAGATAACATGGTTCAACATTTTGAATGTAGCAAAATTGTGCATCATCTGTCACCACACGTGGATACTAATTACAATTTTTTATATTCTGCTGTAGGTGGGTGAGCGAAATCACTGCTCACAAGGTATTAAGTGATTAATTATTGCAGCTCATCACAACTTTAGTCGCCACCCACATAAAGCTGAAGTGATAATTGTATTATCGTAAGATGGCTGTCTCATTGTTATGCAGGTTTGGGGGTATTACGCAGTATCCCTGGATACGCTGGTGCTCTAATGCTGGTCTCCCTTAGTCACATATACAATATCTATAGGTCGAGAGGGGTTAGTGGTTTTCTAGCCTGACACCATTTACTCATTGACATTGACATAAAAATGTTTGTTATCTGTACAGAATGTGTATTTAATCATTAATTTAAATGTGGCTGAAACCAATATCTCTATCAGAGTGCTAAAATTGATATACCTATTAGAATAGAATAGTTTATCAAGGACAGAAATGAAAATTTGTCTAAAAATAATTTTGGAAATTTACACATGAGTTAGTAATTTGCGATAGACAATATAAAGAAGAATCAGTTAAAAATGACATTTTGAAGACATGAGAAGAAGAAAGTTTCTCAATCGATTCTGTATTATTTAGCTTTATCATAACCTCACATATTCTAATGACACGGGTGATGATTTCTTTAGCACCTTCTAGTCATCTGATTGCATTAGTTTTTTTCAAACTCAGAGCCTTTTATTCCCGATGCCCTCAGCAAGTTCTACCATCATCATGTGCAAGCTGTTATATTTAATCAAGATACTGATAACCAGCAGATAGTAATAAAAAACTGTCTTCAAATATAATGAGAGTAGCTAAACCAACACAAATAGTAAATAAAAAAATTATAATAATTTAACAATAAAATTAAAAATTCTTTTGCGTAGTGAGCAATTAAATCAATGAATTCACTTATAATATGGAGATCGGGGAGCAATGAGAATACCAAAACTTGAAAATGAAGTAAGTCCTGACAATAGAATTGTGTGTTATAATTAATAAATCCTAAGTTATTAAGAGCACAAACCCTATAGACAGCTCATTATCAAATCAGTAAGTCAAATAAGAAATTTTCTCTTACATTTGACAAATATAAATCGTTCATAAAGCTTGCCAAGATTAATAGAAATTTCATAAGGAAGAGATTTGTGTTCATTTAAAAAAAAATTGGCACTAAGCCCAGTCATATGATGGTGTAATTTTCTGTGGAATATACAGAAACAATTACCTTTTAGTAAAAAGGTTAGTTTTTATTTTTTCTTTTTTTTATTGCTTAGATGGGTAGACGAGCTCGCAGCCCACCTGGTGTTAAGTGGTTACTGGAGCCCATGGACATCCACAACGTAAATGCGCCACCCACCTTGAGATATAAGTTCTAAGGTCTCAGTATAGTTACAACGGCTGCCCCACTAGCTACACTGCTAGTTTAAATTTTTATATCTATTGAGTCCCAAATATATGGTAAAGATATAATTTTGTTATATAATCTTGAGTTGGTGCTAATTCAAATTACTTGTTTAGTTTAAACTCGCAGTTTTTTATTATCATAAAATCTTTTTATTTCTGTCAAAGTAAAAAGTAGTATAGTATAGTAAAAGTAGTGCATGTAGTTTTTCATTTATTTATTGCTTAGATGGTTGGACGAGCTCAGGGCCCACCTGGTGTTAAATGGTTACCCGAGCCCATAGACATATACAATGTAAATGCCGCCACCCATCTTGAGATGAGTTCTAATGTCTCAAGTATAGTTACAACGGCTGCCCCACCCTTCAAACCGAAACGCATTACTGCTTCACGGCAGAAATAGAGGACCTGTGCGGGCTCACAAGACGACCTATCACCAGTAAACAGTATTTCTGTTTCGTCATACAGTTGTTACTCACACACACTAGCAATTACGCAAGTTATAATTTCGCGACTGATTTTTATGACACGATGACGATTATTCCTTCACCGTGGAAGTCAATCGCGAACATTAAGTACATATTTCAGTAGAAAAATTGATACTTGCTTGCGGGATTCGAATACCGTTGCATCGCTAGATACGGATGCACCGGTCGTCTTATCCTTTAGGTAACGACGACTGGACGATAATTGCCCCACTCTTTAAATCAGAAAAATTATTGCTTCCCTGCAGAATTAAGCAGGATGGTGATATCGTGTCGGGGCTCACAATAGCCAGTAATGATACAGCTAAGGTATTCTCCTTTGAGTATGTTTGAATAGCGTTCATTGTTCTTCATATGGAGTACGGTGACCATTTGAGTGTGGGCTAAGTTTTTTAGGTTCCGAATAGTGAAATACGGTAATAATATTCGGAATAATTTCGTATAAATTCGCTAGCAAAAGAAAGACCGAATAAAGACGGTAAAAAAGTGTCCAAAATGTGTAGTGTGTAGTAACATCACTATTTTTCGTAAAATACGTTTAA